TTTTTAAAAATAATAAATAGACCCACAGGCCTCTCTCTGGGGGTTTATACTGAGTTCATTATTGTATGACTATTAATTCAACTGTGAACCTAGAAACTTGCAGCCACACGTGAAAGAGATGTACTCTTGCTCTGGAGTGTGTTGCTGAATATGTTAAAGCTGTAATGAAATGCTTCTTCTAATCATGTAGTTATTAAATTTTTTTTTAAAGCCTCATGTGTGGTGCACTCCTATGGGTGGGATAGGAGGCAGAAACGAGAATTGCCTGAAGTTTGCAGTCAATTTTTCAGCCAGTATCTAAAAGGAGGAGAATGGTGGGGGGAGGGTGAATATTTTGGAAGCTTGCTGTGGGATATTTCAAAGTTTGCTATGAAATGCTTTGGAAGTTTTTTAACTACATGTTGGAGGAACAATAGGACTGTTGAGATCATAAAACCCAACGACTTTGGCAGATATTTTGCAAATATCTGGTACCGATTCTTTTTTACAATTGTTTTAAACAGCCTTGATATTTTAAAGGAGAAAACCTGCTTTCCTCTAGATTACCATGTTATTCAAATACTCTGTTAAGAAGTATGTTAATTTAAAAAAAGTATGTTGAAAAAGCACAGTACCAGGAAGGAGAAACATCCCCTCTAATTATTGGTCAGGGTAGTCCAAAAGACTCCCCAAATAACACAGGCTATTGCCAAAACCCTTGATTGCCTCCCAGAACATGAAGACACTATTGCTGAAAACAGGACATACTTCAGATACAGGGCTTAGAGCAATCAAACTGGAACTGACCTGGAAGCCTCCTCCCTGAAGACTAGCTCTCATAGTATCAGAGGATACTACACAAGCTGCCAAGGGAGAAAACCAATCAGTGGTTCTACCCAGCTGTACAGCCTAATAAATAACAAGGATTATCCCAGAAAACTATCTCTATTGGTGCAGGAGTGGCACTTCTATCTTGGGAATAATCAACAGTTGTCTAATTAGACTTAGGGCCCACTCAATGGGAGGGCACTCATGTATCATACTACTGTAAACATAACCGAATACACATGGCTGGAGAGGTCACAGGTACTAGAGAAAAGCTTGCTTTTGTCACATACCTAGAGCAATGTAATTTCTTACTATATTCTAAATATGTATCCTTATATTTATAGACAAGTATACCTCTCACCACTTATCACAAGGGCTTCTTTTTGCAACAAATGGAGACTATGGTACAGAATTTCACAATTGGTCAAATTCAGTGTCTGTGAGATGCCCAGCTGGCTGTAAGTGACACATCTACAAGGCAACCTCTACACCTAAGACTCAGGGAACATAGCAAAACAGGGGGCAGAGAGAATGTTAATGCATCTTTCAACTCTTACCGGTAAAGTTTCCTCATGAAACAGATGATTAGCCCAGAAAGCCACAACTGGCCAAAGTGCAGAGAATAAGAGACTGCAGAGTGCTTGTTCCCAAGGAGGACATCTATATCAAACCTCTGTCACCCAAGCTCAGGGACTATTGTGGAAGAGGGGGCAGAAAGACTAACAGCTGGGGTGGTGGATGACAAGGAAACAGAGTTTTCCAGGCAGTTGGGAACTTGTTCATTGAACCTTAACAAACGAGAATGCATGAAATTTGGTGGGGGGCTATGGGGAAGGTCAGATAGGGAGGGATCTAAATATGATGATGATGTATGAAATTCACAAAAAGTCAATAAAAAGAATATTATTTAGCTTGTATACCTTAAAGTACAGTGTCTTTTATCAATTATACCTCAGTAAAATTGAGAAAAACAATTATAGACAGAAAGCATTTTCCAAGCCTTCTATTTTGTAAAGGTCAGTAGTGGGAAAATCTGATGCTTCATTAAAAGAAATGAACACTATCAAAATAAATGTACTAGATGACTTTCTTTACATGTATGATGACAACTGTGCTTCCTCTGCCTTAATGGTTTCCTTTGCTATACTTAGGAGAGTGAAAACATGCGAATTCGTAGCAGGATAAGAATGCAAGATGCAGTTAGAGGGTAATGAAATATTGGGTTATTAACCATTTAAAATATATGCATAAAAGCAATGAGCAAATGTTGGCCCTCAGATTTGAACTCAAATGCAGCTGTGCTTATTGAACTTATTCAAGGACTGCCTTTCATACTGTATTTCTATACTTTGCAGCCTAGGCTACAGTGCATCAGCCAAGGGTCCACTAAAAGAACACGCTGGATTTTGATGCAATTGATGAACACAGTGTGTATGTGCCCCCAAATAAATAAACATATGTTGTTGAAGCAAATTCCAGAGAAGAAACATTCCTTCATTTAATAAGTATTTGTGGTGTACCTAATTGGCATCACATTAAAAAAAAGTCTAATCCTCATGGAGCTTAGATGTGTGCCATATTTAATAAGAGGCAAAACAGTCGATAAAAGCACCCTTTCATGAGTGCTAACATTTTTCAAAGCATAGTTATCACCACCTTACTAATAAAATGTCTGTCTGTTTTAGTTTTAGATTTTTGTTTGGTTTGGTTTTGTTGAGACAGGGCCTCACTATGTAGCCCTGGCTGGTGTGGAATTCCCTATATAGATCAGGCCTGCCTCTGCCTCCAAGTGCTGGGATTACTAAAAAAAAAATATGTAAATGTGAAAATTTAGTTATCAAATGGTTTTTCATTTCCACAAATAGGAGAAAATGGTGAAGAATAAAATAAATTAAGAATTTCAACGGAAAAAATGTGGAATTCCAATTCCAATGCTCATTCTCACTGGTCTAAAGCAAACAGATAAAACTGAGCTCCAATGTGTACCTGGCCTGTGTTTTCTCATTTTCACACAATGCACCTTTTTATTTATTTGAAAATTTTAATTTATTATTTTTATTTTATGTGTATGCATGTATTGCCTGCATGTAGGTAAGTGCACCCATGTCATGCAATGCCTATGGAGGACAGAAGAGGCTGTTGGGTCCCCTGGAACTGGAGTTACAGTTTTTAGCTGTCATGTGGGTGCTGGGATTCGAATCTGGGTCTTCTCCAATTACAACCAGTGTTCTTAACCGCTGAGCCATCTCTCCAGCCCCTCAAAGCACCTTAAAAAAAGAAATGTGTATGAGTGTTATGTCTGCATGTATGTGTCCCCGTGTCATGCAGTGCCCATGAAGGACAGAAGAGGGCATCGGATCCCCTGGAACTGGAGTTGCTAGCCACCATGTGGGTGCTGGGAGTCAAACCCCAGTCTTCTGCTAGAGCAGCCAGTGTTCTTAACCACTGAGCCATCTATCTCTTCAGTCCCACATAGCACCCTTTTACACTTTTTACATAAGTCTGAGGAAAATCACCAAACAACTTTATTTTATAATGTTTCTGATTCAGCTAGTAATAATTGGGGATAGGTCAGGCACAAAGTAACTGGCTTATGTGGGGATAGGAGGGTACAGGATTCCAGGAAAAAGGACTGGGTAGAATTGGCATTTGTTTGAACTCACACTGAGGAGCCTTTCAGTTCTGGTGCACAATGGGAGATGAATCCAAGATCTGTACAGCAAGGAGGGAGGGAAGGGGGAAGGAAGACAGAGACTGAGAGAGAGAGAGATACTAAGCCTGAGCAATGATTAACTCTGGACAAAAAAAATACACAGGAGGGGCTGGAGAGATGGCTCAGCAGTTAAGAGCACTTACTGCTCTTACAGAGGACGAGGGCTCGATTCCCAGCACCCACATGGCGGCCACTAATTGTCCTTAACTCCAGTTCCAGGGGAATCCAAAACTCTCTTCTGACCTCCAGTGCATTGTACCACACAGGTGCACTCACATACATGCAGGCAATACACTCATATACATAAAATAAAAATAAAATATTTTTAAAAAATACACAGGAAAAATTGTAATGATAACACTACATATGCTGGCCAATGTCTATAATCCCAGTACTAGGGGACAGAAGGAAGAGGATCAAGGAGCTCAAGGTCAGCCTTAGCTACAAAGTGAGTTCGAAGCCAGCTTGAGCTACATGAAACACTGTCTACAAACAAAAAACAGTCTGGGGAGATGGCTCAGTTGGTAAAGAGTTTGCTGATGCATAAGGATCTGAGTCTGTGGATCCTTAGCACCTATATAAAAGCAAGCCAAGGCCCCAGTACTAGGGAGTGGATTCCTAGAGCTCATTGACCAGCCAGCTTAGCCAAAGTGTTGAGCTCCGGGTTCAGTGAGAGACCCTATTTCAAATAAAATAATGAAGAATAGGGTGCTGGAGAGATGGCTCAGCAGTTAAGAGCACTGGCTGCTCAGCTAGAGGACCTGGGTTTGGTTCCCAGACCCATATGGCAGCTAACAACCATCCATAACTCCAGTTCCAGGGGATCTGATGCCCTCTTCTTTCCTCTTTGGGCATTTCATGACACTGGTGCACTTACATATATACAGGCAATACCCTCATACACATAAAAGAAAAATAATATTTGTTTAAATAATGAACAATAAAGGAAGACACCTGATATCAACTTCTGAACTTCACACATACATGCACACACAATGCTACATACACATGTGGTTCCTGCATTCAAGAGGCAGAGGCATGAGGACAGCCACAAGTTTGGGGTCAGCTTGCTCTGCATAGTGAGCTTCTAGTAAGCCAGGACTTCACAGTGAGATTCTCTGTCTCAAAAAACAAAACAGTTTAATGATTGTGTCCCGATACTCTTGATACAGCCTGCATGTCAGCTCTGAATTCTGGTTCACTCCCCAAAGGTGTTATAGTCATAGGCCAGGAGAATGGAATTCAGAGAGGAGGGGAGGAGGGAGTGGCAGTAGTGGTAAGAGGTTAGTGAACTAACCTGATCCCTCCACAGATAAAATAAAAACAACAAATAGCAGTCAAAGTTCATTGCCTAGAAACATAGAGGCAAAGAAGCTCACACCTGTAATCCCAGCACTCAGGAGGCTGAAGCAGAAAGATTACCATGAGTTTGAGGTCAGTCTGGACTACATAGTGAGTTCCAAGAAGAGCCTGGGGTACACAGTGAAACACTGTCTCAAAAAAAAAAAAAAAGTAGAACAACTGAAACATTGAAAGGGACAGGGCAAGAGAGTGGTATGTTTTAAGCCTCAAACTCCAATTTCACTTTTAAAATTTGTATAATTTTGCAAGAGTTTTAGAAAGCAAACCGAAACAAGAAAAAAAAAACAGTTTAAGGAAAAAATGTAGTCTTTTATAAGGCAGGTTTAAAACCGTGCATGGTGGTACATACCTGTAATCCCGGTTCTTGGGAGGCTGAGGCAGGAGGATCAGTTTAATGCCCACAGTAAGACATAAGAGGGAGGGAGGGAGGGAAGGAGGGAGAGAGGGAGGGACAGATGGAAGAAGATGAACTATTTTACATTTACATGCATTTATTTATGGCGGAGGGGGTCATGCATGTGCCACAGCATGTGTGTGGAGGTCAGAAGACAACTTAAAGGAGTAGGTTCTCTCCTTCCACCAAGTGGGTTCCAGGGATCAAACTTGGGTCCTCAGAATGTGAGGCTCAAACATTTCACCTGGAATTATTTGGTAAGTTGCCAATACAACCAGGTTTCTTTCTTCAGAAGTTAAACAGACCATGGAGTTAAACATGTAAACATGAATAGGTACTTATTTGAAATGAATTTTTGTTTTGTTTGAAACAGGGTCTGTGTAGCCCTGACTGGCCTGGAGCTTTTTATATATACCAGGCTGTCCTCCAACTCACAGGCATCAGCCCACCTCTGCCTCTGGAGTGCTGAGATTACAGGTGTGTGACACCATATTCAGCTATTTGAAACTATTTCTAAGTTTGTCCCTCATATGTAGGGCAGCACTCCTAAAAACATATGTGGGGCCAACAAGATGGCTCAGTAGGTAAAGGTACTCACCATCAATCCTGACAACCTGGACCCGATTCCCAGGACCCACATGATGGAAGGAAAGAAGCAGTTAATGTTCACATTTTCACTGTTTGGGGCGCCCAGACTCAGAAGCAGCTGGATACTCTAAGCTGAGATGAGGACTCACAGTAAGAAGTAAAGCTCTTCAAAGTTTTAGTTAACATGAGGCCCTAATATTTCACTGAAATGATGAACCCACAAATTTGTATTTAGATGGTCATATCTGTATATGCCATGTTCCATCTCCATTATATTTAGTCAATTAGAAATTTACTTATAGTATGTTAATAAACGATTTTTAAAAAATATTTTTTATTTTATGTGTATAAGTGTGCTGCCTACATGTAAGTGCATCCCCATCGTGCATTGCCCGCTGAGGTCACAAGAGGGTGTTGGATCCCCTGGAACTGGAGTTATGGATGGCTGTCAGCCACTATGTGGGTGCTGGGAACTGAACCCAGGTCTTTTGCAAGAACAGCCAGTGCTCTTAACCATTGAGTCATCTCTCTAGCCTCCAGTAAATGATTTAAAAAACAAAAAACAAACAAACAAAAAACCCAAAAAAACTAAAACAAAAACAAGGTAGGAAATGCCCAGAGTTTCTTTTGTTGATGCCCATGAAATGTGTAAAAGTTGAATCTATAATCAGATATGGTTGCCAGCCATGAGATACACATTATGATGTCCTTTGCACAAAGTAGGACAACTTGTCTCTTGGTTTCTTGGGGGTCATAAGCTTTTGTAAGACTTGCCCTATAACTTCAAAGCCAGTCCTCAAATCCACAGAGGATAATTTCATGATGATTCGCTAATCTACCAAGCTCACTCACCTGCAGGCCTCTACAGATGGTATTCTCCAGGCCAAAGCACGTCTTCTTTGCCTAGCCAATTGCTAATCAATCATTCAGGTCTTGGCAGGGTCTACTTTGGATTCCCCAGTACCAGCCCAACATTCCTTTAAATATCTAGTAGAACTTGGGACTCCCTTCACATACCTATATTTTAGTTACCCATTTAGTTGGAACCACAGAACATGAGCTCTAAGACAGCAGGAATCAAACAGAACTGTCATCTTTGTAATGAGCATTGGCATTGGAGCTGATGTGCTTCAAAGACTGCATTTCTAAAATTTATTTATTTATATTTTATGTGTATGAATGTTTTGCCTGCATATATATAAATGCACCCATGTTGTGCAAGGCCCATGGAGGCCGGAAGAGGGTGTCAAATCCCCTGGAACCAGAGTTAGGATGGTTGTTAGCTGTCATATATGTGCTGGGAACCAAACCCAGGTCCTCTGGAAGAGCAGCCAGTGCTCTTAACTGCTAAGCCATTTCTCCAGCCCCTAAAGACCAGGTTTTTAAGATGCAACAAGATTATCTAATTATGAAGACGGTACAGCAGGTCATTGGATTTCAAATGTCAGCAAGTCAATGCGTGTGAACAGCAACAAAATCCAACAAGTTATTCTTAGTGCTCTGTAGTCTACTGCCCTTTACAGACTAGGTGGAAATAGTTTAGAAAAAGTAGAACTTACAAGAGAATGTTTGCTGAATAGAAAGGGTTAAAAGATAGGAGAAAAACCCTGCTAGGTGTTCAGCAATATGGAATCATTAGATATTTCTTCAAATACATTTTATTTTAAGAGAAAAGAAAAAAATTATGTGTTTATGTGTGTGTCTGTGTGAGTGCACACAGGATATGCACATGTGAGTGCAGGTGCCCATTGAAGCAAGAGGCATCAGATCCCCCAGGAGCTAGAGTTACAGGCAGTTGCGAATCACCTGACGTTTTCAATAGGAACTGACTCTGGAAAAGCAGTACATGCTCTCAACTGCTGAGCCATCTCTCCAGCCCATTTAATAATCCATTTTAGAAAAGTATTATATACATTACCTGAGAGTTTGCTTTTAGTTGTATAATATAAAATTTCCTCCTCTGATTTGCTTTTTTATCTTGAGCAATAATTTCACGCCAATTTCTGCTGACTTTCCAAGCACTAAAACAAAGAGACCAGCCTTTTATTGTAGATATTTCAAAAAAATATCATTTTATGTATAATTGTAAAAAAAATGGATCATAAATTTAAGCTGAAAAATTACATAGTAATATTATTTGATCAACTCATATTGATTTACCATATAAAAGAATTCCTATTAAAATATTTAATATAGTGGGTAGAGAGATGACTCAACTGTTAAGAGCACTGGCTGCTCTTACAAAGGACCTGGGTTTGGTTCCTACCCACATGGTGGCTAACAATCATCCTTAACTCCGGTTCCAAGACATCCCATGCCATGGGGCATATGTGGAGGTCAGAGAACATTTTGAGGGAGTCAATTCTTCCTTCCATTATATAGGTTCTGGTAATCAAACACAGGTCATCAGGCTTATCAGCAAGTACCTTTATCTGATGAGTCTTCTTACTGGCCCAACGGGCTTTTTATTTTATCTGGTTCATATGCAAATATTCCAGCATATAAAAAAATAGCTGGAGAGATGGCTCAGTAGTTAAGAGCACTGGCTGCTCTTGCAGAGGCCAAGGGTTCGGTTCCCACCACTCACACGGCAGCTAGTAACTATCTGTAACTCCAGTTCCAGGGGATCTGAAACCTTTTGGTCTCCAAGGGCATTACATGCATGTGGTGCACTTATATACATACAGGCAAAATAGTCATACACATAAAAATTAAAAATAATCTGGTATCCAGCCATTTCCATAGTTTTTAGATAATTTATCATTTGAACACTTTTGAAAGATGTACACATGCTATGTACTTGTTACACCACATACATGGTCTACTAAGTCTATTCTGAAAAGTGTTAAAACCTTGAAAGTTTTCAAGAAGATACTGGATGGGAAATAAGAAAGCTTAGTAGGGAAGGCCCCTTTCCTTTCCTGGACGGCTGGCAGCTGATTTGATTTATTTAAGGTTGTTTTTCCAACTTTAAAGTGCATGGTCAGACAAGGTCTCTAGGAATTCTTCCAGCTACAAAATGCTCCAGTTCTCTACAATAGCCTGAAATTAATGTATGGGAGAAAGTTGAAGCTTTAGAAGTTATAGCCATAAAAACAGCAAGGAGCCAGACATGGTGGCACATGCCTTTAATGCCAGCACAGCAAGCTCTGTGAGTTTGAGGCCAGCATGGTCTATACAGCAAGTACCAGGCTAGCTAGGACTACATAGTGAGACCCTGCCTAAAAAAACCAATAAGGGACTGGAGAGATGGCTCAGTGGTTGAGAGCACTGGCTGCTTTCGCAGAGGACCTGGGTTCCCAGCATCCACATGGTGGCTAACAACTATCTGTACCTCCAGTTCCAGGGGATCCGATGCTCTTTTCTGGCCTCAGCTGGTATTGCACACACAGGTGTACTGACATAAATGCAGTCAAAACAAAATTTTTCAAAAGCAAAGATTCTATAATCTACTCTTGAAATATTCCCATCAAGAAAGAGGTTCATAGAGCAGGCAAGATGGCTCAGAGAGCAAAGGCACTTGCTGCCAAACCTGACAACCTAAGTTCAAGATCTACATGGTGGAAGAAGAAAACAGACTCCTGCAAGTCGTCCTCTGACCGCCACATGTGCCATGGCATGTGTACACATATGCCACATGCACACACACACACGCACACACACACGCACACACACATACACACAAAATAAATAACGTAAAATTTTTTAAGGTGTTCACTCACTTCCTTCATATTCTCCCTAGCCACCACCTGTTCCACTTGACTTCTCCCCTTCTTGGCCATGGCAATGTGAGGGTCCTGTCTTGTGATAATCCTGCAGCTCCTCCACATTGTCAGCATAAGCAGTCTCACTTTATTTAGTCTGTCAATCTAATTCCCATTCTCCATTCCTACATGTCTACTGGGTTTCTCTTTAATCACATAGCAGTACTGGATCTATGAGAATACCTGTGAAGAAAGTTCTTCAGTTTCTAATTTCTCAAACATAATTTTCTTTCTCTGCTGTATTAACAATGAAGGTGAAATAATACACAGTGCCGTAGTCTTTGAAAAACAAAACCCTAAAATGAAAACTATTTTTTTCTTAGATTCAAATACTATCTATCAAATAAGCTCCTCAGTCACTACAATTCTATTATTTCTGATTAAATGTCATAAATTTAATGCAATTTATACCTGAAAATAAGATGTGGATTCTTAAATCATTTAAAAATCTGTGGAATAAACCGGGCATGGTGACATACAATTGTAGTACCAGAACTTGAAAAATGGAGGCAGGAAGACGAGGGAGTTCAAAGTCATCTTTGACAACATAGTTAGTCCAAAGCTAGCCTGGACTACACGAGACCCAGTAACAAAAAATGCAAGGGGAGAGGTGCCAGGAAGATGTCTGAATTGACATGGTGCTTATTACTGTGCAAGCATGAGGACTTGAGTTTACATCACCAGCACCCATGTGAATGAACACCCTGGTGTGCATCTGTAATCCCAGTGCTGGGGAGGCAAACTGGCTTGCTGATTAACTCCTAACACATTCTTCTTGAGCTAGCCTTTCAAAATAAACCACTGCATCACTAATACTGAACCATTTCAAAGTTTCCTGGAGCTCACTGGTCAAGCCAGTCAAGCCTGATTGATGAGCTCCACATTTAGAGATCTTGTCTAAAAAATAAGGTGGATACACAGGTGCACATGTGCGCGCGCGCACACACACACACAAACTTTAAAATAAAGCTTGCCATCTTGATTCTTTTTCTGTTGAGACAGGGTTTTGCCATGTAATTTTGAATCTGAGACAATCCTGCTGCCTCAGCCTCTCAAATAGCTGAGATTACAGGCCTGTGTCACCAGATCCAACTTACATTTTTGGTTTTAAGCAGAAGGAATCACTCTACTAGCAATCTCTACTAGGGAAGCCACTTAAACTACTTCTGATATAAGACAACCAAAGACAGAAAAACAAACAAAAACAGGCCAGCTATTCAAATCATGGCAAAATTTTCCAACTTAAAAAATATTTTATTTCTTACCTGTATAAACTCTCTGCAGTCAAGGAATCTAAAACCATAGCTAGGACATGCTTCAAATTTCTACATTTTAGTTCTGTCAAGATGTCCAGCTGTCCTAGCCCCATCTTCTTGCCAATCAGTCCTGCCAGCACACACTGCAGTGTGGCTATTTTGCCATCATCCCTTTCCTCAAACAATTCACAGTCATTCTTCCATTGAAGTCGTTTCCTTTTGCTCTTCACAAAGAGCTCATGCACTAATTGCAAGGCTGGAGTATTTGATAAGTTCTTAAAGCTTAAAGTCAAATCCACACCCTTATCATCACAGTCTAGCTGCCTCTCTGAGATGCCTGAAGCAGCTTCCGGTCTTGTTTCAAAGGTAGTGTGGACAATCTGCTTTTCCTCTTCTGTCTCTGACTGTGAGCCTTGCTCTCGAAGAGTGGATAGTCTTCTTGACCTTCCAAGATGCCTTGGCTTTTTTATGATGTCCCCCACTCTGGGAGTCCCCCTATGTTTGAGACGAGGTTCTTGAAAAGAACCCTCTGGGTCAGAGATAGACTCTTCTGACTTATCCCAGCTCAGTGAGCTAAAACCACTGTCTTCCGGTGTTGAAATATTGCCTCCTACTTGTGTTGAAGAAGAAAGAGTTTGGTTTGCATTAAACTTAATGTTTGTGAGAAGATTGTTTACTGGAGTCACAAATATGTTCTCATCTGTTTCACAGGCTGCTCTGCTACCGGAGGAGCCCAGAAGGTCAGGGCACGTATTCTCGTCGTGAACACTTAAACTGCTATCACTAAAGTCCTGTGTGATCGAATCTTTAATATTATTGCCCTGAATTGGAGATAGGCAATCCACCTCAAATAAGCTACAATCATCTTTGGAGTCATCAATTGTGGAAGTCTTGTGCTGAGAAAAATTTAACCTTAAGTTCTGACAGCTGGGAGTCGCCTCCTCTGTTTTGATAGTGCTAGTAACTAAGGGGCTAAAAATGTTTTGCTTTGGAAAACCTGAAGTACTGCATGAAATATGCTTTTCTAAGCTGGGTATGTGACTTATACTACTTTTCAGAGAACTGTTTTGTGATTCATAATCCCCCTTTAGAAGAGCAAAAGATAAATCCAACCTTCTGCGTAATGAGCATCTTTTTCTTCTGATTTTGGGAGTCTCACAAAGTTCTGGGCTTGTATCATTTTCCTTCCTAGTGAACACAAATTTCTTTCTTTGAGTGGGAGTTTCTATGGGATTTGTTAAGCCTAAACCTGAAGTGACAAGGTGCTCATGGATTAATGTTGGGTCTTTTTCTTTCTTTCCAGCAAATTCATTGTTATGAAAGCTGCAAGACTTTGACCACTCTTGATGGCCTCTATCTTGAAAGGAGGATGTGGAACAAAAATCCCTGAGGTTGGTGCACTCGATGTTGACTGTAGGGGCGTCCACTCCACTTCCTGTACCATGACTGACTGAATGCCTTTGGAACATCTTCAAGCTCTCTGTTTCTACAAAGTGGAAAGAAGTTTATTCATCCTTGGCCATGTGTAGCCAAGCAACTTACACCAAAATCTATAATTTGTGTTGAACATAGGTAATGGGAAATTGTGTAATAATTTTTTCAAAAGTTATTTTAAAAAACAAATCTCCACAATATACTGATATAAATGTATATATCTCCTACTTAAAACAATTCTTTGCATAAAATCAAAAAGTTCAGAGTATAAATATTCAGATTACTCAATAACCATAGGCTAAGTATTGTACACAAATATTTTCTTGAACTACTCCTAACAAAACCCAGCAACCTTATTTTTGGATTATTTTGCTTTTATGATGTTAGTTGAAACATATACTTTTAGTTTTCATACTCTAGCTTCTTTGGGTTCTGGTGCATATTCTCTTTCAAAGCCTTGGAATCTAAAAAGGACTACTTAAGTCACTACATGTTGCTTTTTATTTTTCTTTTGATTGTTTTGGACATTTATTTGTGAGTGCATGCTTGTATGCTGTATGTGCTGTGCATGTGCACAAACATGCATGCCATAGCATACATGTGGAGGTCAAATGACAACTTGTGAGAGTCAGTTCCCTCCTTCCACCATGTGAGTTCTGGGGATCTAGCTCAGGTCATTGTCAGGCTTGGTAGCAAGTGCCTTTATCTTCTGAGCCTTCTTGCCAACCTTATATGTTATTTGCTGAACATGTCTTTGGGAAATGTGTCAAATAATGAATAGTTATTAGATAAAACTACAATTAAGTTAAGCATACATTTTAACAATGCCTACTGCAGAGATCCAGTACCCATGACCATTCATGGTCTGAATTCCCAGGCTTATCCCTTTTCAAAGACTCTTTGGCTTGCTGATAAATTCCTAACACAATCTTCTTGAGCTAACCAAAGTGAACCACCACACCACAGATACAGAACTATTTCAGACTTCAACATGTTGTATTAATGTCTCATTTTCCAAATATTTTAAGACATAAGATCCTATTGCAGGCTCAGAATCCCAGATAATAGACTATACAAATAATTATGTGTAGGCAAACCACCATTTACAATGCTCCTAAAGTTGCAAATAAGGAGTTAAAATCAATTACTTAAAGAACAGTTACTCAAACAGGCATGGTGACACACACCTTTAATCCTAGCACTCAGGAGGTAGAGGCAGGTGGATCTCTGTGAGATTGAGGCCAGTCTGATTTACATAGTGAGTTTCAGGCCAGATGGGACTACAGGGAGCCGCTGTCTCAAAAAAAAAAGTTACTCCGAAATTATGAGTAAGGCATGACACTATGAAATAGTTTACTCTTTAAACTTTTCAACAGTATTATCATATTCAACTTCATAGAAACTTAAAAATCTTTTTTTAAAAGGTTAATTTATTTTTATTCTATGTATATGAGTGTTTGTCCACAGAGGCCAGAAGAGGGAATCAGAATCCCTGGAATTGGAATTACAGCTGATTGTGAGAGGCTATGAAGGTGCTGAGAATTGAACCCAGATCCTCTGCAAGAGCATGTGCTTTTAACTGCTGAGCCATCTCGCCATTCCCTTCTCCCCCCTTGTTTCCGAGATGGCCTCACTGTGTATCTAAGACTACTCTTGAACTTAAGATATTCCTGCTTCAGCCTTCCCAATTCTGAAAATATAGGCCTGTATTACCTGCTTCTGATTTAAATCTTGGAGAGATGGCTCAGCTGTTAAGAACACTGGCTGTTCTTGCAGAGGACCTGGGTTCGAATCCCAGCACCCACATGGCAGCTAACAACTGTCTGAAACTCCAGTTCCAGGGGATCCGACAGCCTCTTCTGTCCTCCACGGCATTGCACGATACGTGCACTTACCTACATTCAGGCAATACACACATACACATAAAATAAAAATAATAATAAATAAAATATTTTTTAAAATACAAGAAAGACTTTTTTGAAAACTTCTTCAGATTATTCAAAGGACACTAAGAAAATTATTCCTTCAAACTTTTCTCCAAGATAAATGCATAATGTTTCTCTATTAAGAGATCCTGGGGGATGGGAATGTAGCTCAGTTGATACAGTGCTTGCCTAGCATGCCCAAAGCCCTGGGTTTGATCCCCAACATCACATAAAATCAAGTGTAGTATTGTATGCCAGTAATCACAGCACTCAAGAGGCAGGGGAAAGAAGATCAGAAATTCAAAGTCATCCTCTGCTTCACAGCAAGTTCAAGTCTGGCCTAGGATATATGAGCCCCTGCCCAGAAAGAGAGAAAAAAAGAGACGTAGATCCTGGGAAGATATATTTTAGTTGAGTGTAATGGGATAATAATATACTTAAACCTGTGTTACATCATTTCAACAAGAGTGAAAAAAACATGTTACAAATGCAAATTGCAGGGCGGGAGAGATGGCTCACTGGCTGTTCTTGTAGAGGACTGAGGTTCAATTCCCAGCACCCATATGGCAGCTAACAACCATCCTAACTCTAGTTCCAGGGGATCTAACACCCTCTTCTGACCTCCTCCAGCATTGCATGGCACAGGTGCACCTACCTACATGTAGGAAATACATTCATACACATAAAAATATTTTTAAAGGCAAATTGCTACACTAAACACAAAATTATTTATTGTATAATGAATATTAGGTCATTTTTACTGGGCAAAGTAAAGGTGTTTTTAATGTGTATGAGTATTTTTGCCTACATGTATCTAAGTGCACCTATGTCATGCAATGCCTGCAGAGGTCAGAAGAAGGCATCAGATCCCCTGGAACTGGAGTTACGTACAATTGTTAGCCACCATGTAGGTGCTGGAAACCGAACCCAGGTCCTCTGCAAGAGCAGCCAGTGCTCTTAACCACTAAGCCATCTCTCCAGTCCTCAAAGTAACTTCTTTTTATGTGTATGCATGTAATGCCTGCATGTAGGTAAGTGCACTCGTGTTATGAAATGCCCACGGAGAACAGAAGAGGCTGCCAGATCCCCCTGGAACTTGAGTTAACGACAGTTGTTAGCTGCCATGTGGGTGCTGGGATTCGAACTTGGGTCTTCTGCAAGAACAGCCAGTGTTTTAACTGCTGAGCCATCTCTTCAGCCCTCCCAAACTAACTTTTAAACCTCTACTTTTTAAAAAATATAATTTTGACCCCTGGCTCCTGGGATCATTACAAATTTCTGCACATGCCCAGGAGGCAACTATTGTCAAATTTTGCTTTCTGTAAATTTTGCATTATACTTTAAAACAACTTTTGTCTTTCAGTATTGTAACTTTCCAAAGTACATCTCCTCTTGCTGCATGTGGTGGTGCCCGCCTTTAATCCCAGCACAGGGAGGCAGAGGTAGGTGGCTCATTCTGAGTTCAAGGCCAGCTGGGGCTACGGGGAGACCCTGTATCAAAAAAATCAAATTACATTTCCTCTTATGAATCCTTGCATCCCGAATAATTATTTTATTAAGTAAATTCACTCCAGTTGGTGAAAATTAGGTCAAGCACTTGCAAAATGTAACTATTCTATTTCGCCACTAGGTGTCTCACGATCCTAGAATTTGGGAAATAGCCGCAAATAGTTGGAAATAGTGGAAGCACAGGTAAAGTAACCAGCCCTCCTCCCTAAAAAAAAAAAAAAAAAAATACACAGGTTTCTCTGCTACCGTCATTTTCATCTTTCACTGCCCCAAGATATCCGCTTCAAAACTTTAAAAAGTATGCAAATCACAGACTGCCTGACTTATGTTACTGACGCAAGAGTTGACTAATGAATCAAACCTGATTTTTTTAAAACCGCGCCCCCTACCCCATAAAGGACTCAGACTACTGAGACTTAAAAATGCCTAATAAGTCAGAGAATGAGCGAATTATTCTATGTTCAAACCAACTTTCCTTCGTTTGTTAAAGTGAAAAATCTTACCATCAGTAAACCTTGAGCTCTTAAGACATGTCAAAGCTAGGTAGGCTTCCAAACAAGAAAGTCTCTCATCTTTGCCTTTAAAGTTCATGCCAAAGCAACACCACTTAGAGCGGAAAACACCGAGCACTGAAGGAAACCGCGCAGCAGCTCAGTGAAGGGGAAAGGTGAAGGGGGACGTGGAACACAGGCTGCGGGGATCAGGCTCGGCACTCAAGGCCTCAGTCATCCTGAACCTCCTCCAGCTCTGCGGACACCGGGTCTTCCAAAACCCGGATTCTCCAGCTAGTCTTGCGAGCGGCCCTCCTAGACCGGCCGGCGGGGGCAGAGCGCCGTCCACCGTGCTGCGGACGCCAGCTAACGGTCGTCCTTCGGGTCTTCCCGCGGGCTGCGAGGACCCGGCGTCGCGCGGAGCGGAGACGAGTGAGCGCCCGCCGCCGGGCGGGTGCACCTGGGCCGCTTCGCCCACCTTAGGCCGAGGCCGAGGCTCCCTAGGGCCGGGCCGGGGCGGGCGGGGCGGGAGGAGCACGCCTCCGGGGGGGAAGCCGGCTTTGGCAACCCTCACGCCCCCGCCTCGCCCTCCTTGGGTTTGAGCCGCCGGCTCTGGGCAACCGTTGGGCGCCGCCCCAGCCGCCCCTGTCGGAACTGCGTCCCGGCCTCCCTCCGCCCGCACAGGTTCAGCACCGCTCTCCCGCTCCCAGCATCACTGCGCGGGTTTCCTTTCGCTCCTGCGGTGGGATGCCATTAGAAACAGCGCCCGAAGATAATCTCTGGAAATGTTTCCCCAGGCTGTGCAGAGTGAAAGCAGCTTACAAACTGAATGTATTAATATTCACAGGATAAGAACTGAAGAGTTATGATTCACTTTATTGTATCTTTGGACAAGATTATAATTTGAAGGTGTGTGTGTGTGGAGGGGTGGCACACACTACTGTCATGTAATCCAGGCTGGCCTGGAACTGATTGTCCTGCCCCGTTTCCCAAGTGTTGGGATTATAGGTGTGTGCCACTAAGCCCAGCAAGGTTGTGATTTTCCAGGGTTTTTGTTTGTTTGTTTTGTTTTTTGTTTCTTTTTTCTTTTGAGTCAATGTCACATGTAGTCCAGGCTATTCATGAACTCCTGATCCTCTTGCCTTTTGCCTCCCAGGTGCTGGGATTTCAGGCATGTGCTACCATGCCTGGCTAATGATTTTTTAAAGTTTTTGTTTATATTTTTTTCATGTTTAAACAATGAACAGATATATAGATCTGGTAAATAGGGGAAAAAAAGCTGAGTTGAATTATACACCTGTAATCTCTGCACTCAGGAGGAAGATACAGCAGGAGTCCCATAAATTGGGGGCCTGCCTAGACTCCATAACAAGGTTCAGGCCAGCCAGAGCTGTGTAGACACTGTCTCAAAAACAACAAACAACAAACAAAACAAAAACCCACAAAGGCTATGAATAAGATTAAAACATTTTCATTGAAATGTGGCACATGGCTTTAATACCAGCAGAAGCAGGTGGACCTCTGTGAGTTCAAAGCCAGCCTGGTCTACATAGTGAGTTCCAGGCCAGCTAGGGCTACAGGGAGACCCTGTCTCAAAAAGACCAAAAAAAAAAAAAAATTCAGACATTCCTTTTTATGAATCCCAAACACCCAAGCACCTTCAATGCCAAAAACATTTAAACAATACTATTTTTTGTTGTTTCATGACACTGTAGGTCAGTTACAGTCCTGTTGTCCTCAGTAGCTTCAAGCTTCCTTTTGGGAGCTTCTTTTCCTGGGCCTACACAAATAAGACATTAGGATGTCAGCACTTTTCTTAGATTATCATCCTTGGTTAACACAGTTCTCATTCAGAATCTCAACCATCACCTTGAAGCCGGTACCAGCCATTACTACAGCACTGTCCTCTGAGGATCTATCTGGATGCCCCTTAGACAACCTAAAATAAATGCAAAACCTCCAACTCAACTCACTAGTAAATATGAAGCTCAAATCACATGCTCGTACAAAAATAAATAAGGCACAGTTATTCTGTTAAAACACCCTTGTTTGTGAGAATGAAAGGTCCCACCTCTCACTGAGGTACTGTGCAGGTGTTAGCCATTATTAAAACACTATTGCAAATTGTTGAGATTGGAGAGGTGGTTCGGTGATTATGAGAGCTTGCTGTTCTTCTGAAGGACCTTAGCTCATTTCCTAGCACCCATGTCGAGTTGCTCACAACTGTGTGTAATTCCAGCTGCAGAGAGTTCAGCACCCTTTTCTGGCTTCCACGGGCACTTGTACACACATCACAGACACACAATTGTCAAAATTCCTGTTCATGGTAAGTTCTTATTGTAAGCACTCATGTTCATGTTCCTGTAGATGAGTAAAGATGCTGGGGAATGGGCAGTTTGATTCCCTCATCAGCGGTTGCTGGACCATCGCTGCCCTGGCTGCTTTGAGTTAAGAGACTGTCAGTCAAATAGCCAGGCATGCTTATGCCAACACCAGCTGTTCTGGGCACTCCACAGATGCCTTGAAAACACTACACAACAATCTGAGCTCATTGCTTCAGCTCCTGCAGGTGCTGCCGCAAACAGGAGGGTTTCTGGTTTGTTCTGCACTTTTTGTTACCCCAATCCTTGGTGAACTCCCAGTGACTCTGAAACCATTCCCATGTGGGCTAGCAGAGGAACTCCTGTGTCCGGTGCTAAAAGGACAGTGTTGTATTTGGTGCCAACACCTGGGCAGGCTGTTTTGGTTTACTTGGTGAGTTGGTAGGAGACATCCCCCTGTTTTGCCTTCTGTGGTGTTGTAGCATTAACCCCAACCAAAGTCCTCTCAAGTCGTCTTTGCTTGGCTGCTTTTATTTTTTATTTTTAATTTAAACTTCGCTTATTAATTTATTTGGTGTGCTTGTGTGCACACTGCAGGAGTGTGGAGGTCCGAGGACAACCAATAGGAGTTTGTGCTCTCCTTTCATCTTGTGGGTTCCAGGGATTGAACTCCGATGGTTAGGCTTAGTGGCTTTACCGTCTCATGGATCCCTTGCCTGCTTCTAGTAGTGTGGACTGAAATAAGAAAGTGACGTGAAGGAAGAAGCAGCAGAGATGTCCGCAGTAGTGGGGCCGCAGTGACCAAGGAGCAGCAGTGACCAGCTGCATAAATGGCAAGGTGGCTGCTTGACAGCTGAAGACAAACAGTTCCAGAGAGCCGCTGGGCAGGAACAAGGGGGTTGGTGGAGGAAGAGAAGAAGGAGAGCTGAGGCTGAAGATCGACATGAGGCTGTAAAGAGCCAGAGAATAGAAACCACAGGCCCTGGTGACTGGTTCCAGAGAGCTGTCAGGTTTTTAGGGAGAGTCTCCAACACTCCAGGCCTGGGAGTTGTAATGGTGGCTGCATGTCAAGGGCTAAGGAATCTAGACTAGTCCTGCACAAGAGCTGGTACCTTTGAAGCTCTTTACGGATTCTGAGGCCCTAGGCTACATACAAAGAGAAGGTGAATTGCTAAGGGTGGAGCTTCTGAGGCCTGTTGAGAGCTCTAACGCTAGAGAACCACATGCTGCAACTCTTACCTGGCGGCAGAAGCTATTCTCCGCTACCAAACCTGGAGGGAGACAAAAGCTGTAGAGACCAGCACTTGACAAGCTGGTCTTTGCCCACAGTCTCTAAGTGGATGGTGCAAAAAGACCCAAGCCAGCTGACAGGTAACCTTGGTGTAGAACAGTGCTATAATAGAGCAAGAGCGGGGGCTCAAATGATCAACTAACCCCCTGAGAGTGGCAGAGTACTAACTTCTTAAGGACCACATGGTGAAGTAGATTTTGATGGACAGGTAGCCATTTAAAAAGCTGACAACACGGAATTCCAAACTCAAAAAATATGTTAATAGAAAACTGAGTTGGGCACTTTAGAAAAACTAAGTAACTTGCTAGACACTATCGTTTCCTTCATGGGCTCTTAGGAATCTTAGTGACCCCAACAGCATGTCTCTCTAACTTGAAGTTAAACACCTCTTCTCAGCCAGCAGAGGACAAGTGTTTTTCGTCTACAGCCACTTCAAGTGACTGGCAAGGATACTTTCAGAGCATCCAGAGCAGCTGAGGATGTGGGGCCTCAAAAGCAGGCCAAGTGGGATCCCTGGAGTCAGCTGAGAGGCCCTTCCTTCCAAGGAAAGTGGCATGACTCTGACATCAACAAACCAGAAAGCGCTAAAGAAGAGCTGTGGAAAATTACTGCCAGCCACATGTGGACCCTAAAATAATATAATACTTGGCTTTTTCTAATCCTATAGATGATGTGGCCTAACACGTTAGGAGCAGAAATATTTATTGATCCTCTCTCAGTAGTGCTTACCAGAAATCAACTAAAAGTGCATTTGTTATTTAAAAAATAATTTGCAAGCTGGGCATAGTGTTGCAAACCTTTAATCCCAGCACTCAGGAGGCAGAGGCAGGGGTATCTCTGTGAGTTCAAGGCCAGCCTGGTTCACACAGTGAGTTCCAGGCCAGCTGGGGCTACAGGGAGACCCAGTCTCAAAAAAATCAAATAAACAAAAGAAAAACCAACAACAAAAAACAAACCCAAAAATAAATAAAAATAATTTGCTGCAGCTGGAAACTAAGACCCATTGTCTGAAGGGGCAGGCGAAAGCTCTTAGGGAGGGGCAGAGCAAAGTCCCAGAGAGTTGTAGATGCATGCTAAGACTCTGAGTTTTACCCTGTAGGCATTTCAGAAAGACACTGGAGTGGTCAAATGGACAGAATGAAGAGAAGTGAGGGGTGCTGCAAAGAGACTAGTAGGAAGCTACTCCATTTCTCTGGAAGCTAGTGGTGGTGGGGAGCAACCTGAACCCTGTATGTTCAGTTGACATAATCAACAACATGGGGGAATGGGGTAAGAGAGGGAACAGAACAAGCTTGGGGGATAATGATATTTATGTAATGTTAAGTGGAAGTACCTGTAAGATTTAAGGATGAATTACAATGGCACATTCTTCAAGAGCACTTGTCTGAAGCCTCCCCCATACCCTCCCTGTCTCTTCAAACAAATCTTCGTGGCAGCCATTTTTACCCTTCCTTGCTCAACAACAAGAATACTCCTCTCCAGCATTTTGTCTGTGTGTTTTTATCACCTAAAATACATGTTACCTAGGGCATGGGGATGTAGCTCAGTTCATAGAGTGCTTACCTAATATTCATGCACTCCTAGCATTGCATAAACTAGGTATGGTGGCATACTCTTGTAGTCTCAAGATCTAGGAGATGGAGGCAGGAGGATCAGCAGTTCAAGGTCATCCTCAGCCAGATAGCAAATTTGATAGCAAATGTATTATCTACTTAATTTCCATTCCTTGTCCCCACCCTAACACACAGGGCTGGGAATTTTGTCTGTGGCTGAAAATAACCATATAACCCCAAAACATCATTTTTCTTTATTTAAAGAGACAATTATTGTTTTATTTTTCTGAAGACATTTTATTACAAATGAAGAATAAAAAAGACATCAGAGTCAGGCATGGTGCTTCCTATAATCCCCAGCATTTGGGAGGTGGAGGCAGGAGGATAGGAGTTCAAGGCCATTCTTAGCTACATAGCAAGTTGAAGCCAGCCTGGGACACTTGAGACCCTCCCTCAAACAAAGCACATCATGGCTCCTTTATACCATCCGAGAAAGAGACCCCTTCCCACAAAAACAATCTTAATAACATACAGATTGCAATCATCTGTATTCATATACTCCAGATATAAGCTACTGGGTTGTTTTTATTCTTTTAAAATGATTTTTATTACATTTACATAGTGATTATGTGTTTATTTGTGTGTGAACAGGAGTTGGTTCTCTCCTTACACCACTGTGTCCCAGGGATTGAATTCAGGTCATCAGGTTGATAGCAAGCACCTTTGCCCACAGAGCCACCTTGCTGGTCCTATTTTGTATTCTTTACCCATCACAGACCTGCTTTTTGCTTCCTTTTCTTGGATCAGTCTCCCATGATTAAGTCAGAATTCTAAAACTTACTTGCTTTCCACAAGATCTAATATTTCTTTGGGGAGTCATTCAATAAAACTTAATGGAATTTATCCCTAATGACCATGACATTCAAGCTATGCAAATATACTTAAATTGTTATCATCAAGAATAAAGGAAAGGCACAGATTCAAGAAAAAAACCCACAGCAACTTGTTCTCCAATAACCATTTTGTAAGGAGTTGAAAAACCCCAATGGCAAGACAAATACCCTCATTAGGAGAGAGCAATGCAATGATTTCTAGCTTCTGGTAGGTGCTCAGGCAGTCAGGTCAGTTTATCATTGGTAACAGGTAGCTTCTTTCTGTTATGTCCATGGTGATGATAAAACTACTGAGTACTGATAATAGGAAAAAATGTTGGATTGGGAACGTGTACAAACATGAACTCTTGTGGAATGTTTTGGATCACCTTACTATAAATAGTCATCACATCACAATTCTATAGGGTTCCAAGGAACATTTATGTTCTTTTTTACTTGTTATTTTAATGTGTATGAGTGTTATTTATGCCTGCATGTGTTTAAGTGCACCTGTGTTATGCAGTGCCCATAGAGGACAGAAGAGGACATCGGATCCCCTGGAACTGGAGTTACGAATGGTTGTTAGCCACCATGTGGATGCTGAGATTCAAACTCAGGTCTTCTGTAAGAACAGCCAGTGCTCTTAACCACTGAGCCATCTATCCTGCCCCTTATGTTCTTTATGTAATGATCTGTTCTAACCTTCATATGTGGTTTTGTTACAAAGTTATTTGATACTTGAACTGGAGATTTAAAATCCAGGAAAAAGTTACACATGGTGGTACATATTTGTAATGTCAGCACTGGGGAGGCTGAAGCAGAGAGATTAGTGAGTTTCAGGTCTGCCTGGGATATATAGCAAAATTTTATCTTTAAAAAATCCAAATGCTGGAGAGAGAGCTCAGCAGTTAAGAGCGCTTGCTGTTCTTCCAGAGGACCTGACTTCAGTTCTCAGCACTTACATAGACCACCTCATAACTGCCTGTAACTCCAGCTCCAGGGGATCCAACTCCCTCTTCTGGCCTCTACAGGCACTTGCACACATACAACATATGCAGACACAGACACAGACAAGACAGGCAGACAGACACACACACGCACACAAATAAAATCTTAAAATCCAAGTTATCTTGCAAGTATGAAAGTTTCAGTTTGGGGCTCACACCATCATCTTTCCCTTATGTTAATGTTTTTACCAGATATTTCCTGTACAGAAGGCTGCTATAGCTACTTGATTACCCCTTTCCTTTGAGAGAAGAGGTAGATACTTTGTAATATGGCTGACAGTCAAAATATGCTGTTAGTGTGTATGTGGAGGAAGAAACCAGAAACTACTGTTTTCTTGGAAATTTCCTTTTCAAAAATACTATCATCTGTAGTCCTGGGGATGAGCCAATGTGTGCTAGGAAAGCATTTTACCTCTGAGCTGAACCCCAAGTCCAGGAAAAAATTTAATTGGCATTTAGGAAATTGGAAAGATCAAGTTAAATCTCCCAAGCTAGAGTGTGGAGGTGCAACCACAGTCTAAATTCCTCCAAAAGAAAAGTAAAGCTCAAAATTCTCAATTTTTCTGGATGGAGAGCTGGAAAGTACAGCCTATTTAATAAGATACCAGAGAGTGTGCATTGAGAGAAGCCCTGTTTTTTTTTTTTTTTATTCCTAATGGTTTCAATTAATGTTTTGCTCGAATAACTTTACTTTCTTCACCTTTTTTGTTTGTTTTGCTTTTGTTTTTGAGACAGGGCCTCACTGTGTAGTCCTGGCTGGCCTGGAACTCACTATGTAGACTAGGCTAACCTTGAACTCAGAGCTCTACCTGCCTGACTCCTGAGTGATGGTATTATGCCTGGCTCTTCATCTTGTTTTGTTTTTTTTTTTTTTTTCAAAAAGGGTCTCCCTGTAGCTACAGCTGGCCTGAAACAGCTATGTAGACCAGGCTGGCTTCCATCTCATAGATATCGACCTGCCTCTACCTCCTGGAATTAAAAGTGTGCCACCACACCTAGCTATCACCCTATTCTTAATATAAGTAAAATATCTGCTGTGAAAGAAGTGAATGAATATTGTGTTCTGAGCACAACAGGTAAAGTTTTTATCTGAATTGAAATTTTGATCTTTGAAAGAATGCACCTCCACTGAAGGAGTCATTTTTTTCTGTGGATGCACAAGGGACAGATGGAGAATCTGAAAAAAGTGAAAGCTACCAATGAATGGGAGTTATTAATGGGGCTGCCTTTATGCAAGCCTTTGATTCAGAAAGAGAGGAGGAAGACAGGCGTTGTGGTGTCTGTAATCTCACATTGAGGAGGCTGAGGCAGGACTACCGAGGTTTGAGGCCAACCTAGACTACACAGTATTAAATCTCAAATCCTCAAATCTTTCCCCCCATCTCTCTACAACCACCCCACAATTCCCCATCCCCGCCGGGGGTGGGGGGAGTGGGAGAGGGATGACAGGAGCCTGGGAAAGCAAAACCTGGCAGGTATTAAACAATTTGAAAAATACTCGTGACAATTATTGGTGGAATAGACTGTTCTGCGTATGTCTGAGCAGTGGCTAGTTGTTCTGTGTATGTCTGAGCAGCGGCTAGTTTAGGATTACACCTGCTCCTGTCATCTCCGTTTCGGTTCTAATCCTTTGCCTTTCCAGAAGTTTTTATTTCACAAGTCAGAAACACAAACCTTCTTCGAATTGGACTGTTAAAGTGCTTTGCCTCCTTGAAAAATAAATAAAACAAAGAGACCAAAAAACCATCAGAATTAACTAGGAGCGAAACAACACTGTAGAATCTCAAACACCAGTGAACAGGGTTTCTCGCCACTAAGAGATCCTCCGCCCCTGGTAACATCAGGGCGGAAGGGGGCGGGGACCCCGTACGTCATACGCCAGCGCCGGAAGCTAGTGGCGAGGCAGCGACGGAGGAGTGGTGTGTCTGCGGACCCAGGTAAGTGTCTTGAGTGCCGGGTGGAGGGGAACCTTTCTGGCTGCCGAGGTAGGGGATTGGGGGTTGGGGGTTTGAAGAAGTGCATTTGGGGCGACAACCAGAGAGACACTTGGAGTTAAAGAGGTCCCGGGCTGTGGCGCGGTAGCTCACGTCTTGTTCTCCGAGCGCTTGGGAAGCGGAGGCAGGGCAATCCCGACTTCGACTCCTTGACTTCTGAAAAAAGCTCTGCTTGGGCTACAAAGCGAACTGTAGGTCATCCTGGGCTACACGGCGAGACTATCTCAAAGGACCAAATATATAACGAAAAATAGAAGATCCGTGTTGAGAGAGGCTTTTGATGGATTTGATGTAGTCGGCCTTTTGTGTGTTTTCTTTCAGTTTAGCTGTATGGCCGCTGAGACGTCTTTCGTTGTTTTCCCTCCTTAGGTTAGGCTGTGCTTCGGTTGTATATAATTTTATTTTGGCTATCTCTGGCTTAAGTTTGGAAAACTGGAGTTTATGTTAAATGCTAACACGAGTATTCCAGTCAGATCTGGATTCCCATTGCGTTTTAGTTGCTGAGTGATATTGGGCAAATAAAACTCTCCTTAGCTATTTCATGTATAGATTAATAACCGCAGCCGGGCGTGGTGGCAGACGTCTTTAGTTTCAGCAGTTAGGAGGCAGAGGCTGGTGGATCTCTGTGAGATTGAGGCTAGCCTGATTTACATAGTGAGTTCCAGGCCAGCTGGGGCTACAGGGAGAGCCTGTCTCAAAAAAAAAAAAAAAAAAAGTGATTTCCCCCATAGTATTGTTGTGAAGAGTGTAATAAAATAACAATGTATTTATTATTGTGTTCAGTTTGGGATCAGTGCTCAAATTTTCTGTTGTATGTGTGTTTCATCCTTTAGATCAAATCTACAGAGTTTAGGAGGAAAGATACAGATTAGGAATTAGGATAACCCCCGACCCTCCCACCCTGGCTTTAAGACTGGGGGATTGATCCCACATGTTAGGCAAGCACTCCACCTCTGAGTTATCTCTTGAGCCTGGGAATCAGGTCCTTTTTTAGCTTCTGAGAAAAATGGGGCATGGTTGGTCTTGTGAGAAGGTCTTATTAGGTATTCAATGCTTGACTCTGTGATTTCAGTGAGTAACAATGGACACCCAGAAGGACGTTCAACCCCCAAAGCAGCAGCCAATGATATATATATGTGGAGGTAAGAGTAATTTAAATTCCTTTTTGATTTATTTTTATTTTGTGTGGATGAGTGTTTTGCCTGCATGTATCTTGCATCATACAAGCATACTCTTGTCATGCAAAGTCTGCAGAGGCTAGAAAAGGTTGTTGGATCTGCAGGAACTGGAATTACGGACAGTTGTTAGCTGCCATGTGGGTGCTAGGAATTGAACCCAGGTCCTCTGCAAGAGCAGCCAGTACTCTTAACTACTGAGCTATCTCTTCAGCCCCCAAGAGTAGCATTTAAAGTAAGAACATTCTACTTAAGTTCTTATTTGAAATTACTGAAACTTTCCAAATGAGTACTGATCCTCAAAGTTATAAAGTAGAACACTTTAGCAGTTACTCATTTAAAACCCCTCGTTAGGAATTCATCTTTTCTTCTAGGGAAAAAAAAACAAAACCGCACTGCCCTTAACTCTTTCCTTTCCTCCTTAGTGTATTTAGTAATGCAAACCCATTCAGTTGACTGCTTTGGTGCTTTGGGTTGCTTGGGATGAAATACGTGGTTATGATAATTTACCCTCCTGTAATGTTTCTCTTTTAGGCATTGAATGAATATGTTTTGTTTTCTAGAATGTCACACTGAAAATGAAATTAAATCCAGAGATCCAATCAGATGCAGAGAATGTGGATACAGAATAATGTACAAGAAAAGGACTAAAAGATGTATCCTTTAACTGCACTTCCTGAACCAAGAAGGAAGTGACAGGAAGTGCTGATAATAGTAGTAATAACTTTTGCATTTTAATTTTTTAAGTAGAGTGGATGTGGGTTTATTAAGGAAAAATGAGAAATCCCAAGAATGTGAGGGACTCCCAGGGAGGATTACTTGTTTTAATAATGTTTATTTTTATAATAATTTTTATTTTGAACTCCCTATATAAACCAGGTTGGCCTCAAATTCACAGAGATTCACCTGCCTCTGTGCCATAAGTGTTGGGAATAAAGGCCTGTGCCACCATACTCTGCCTTCCATTTGGCTATTATACATAATATTTGTATTTCTCCTTCTATAATTTAGATGGCCCATAAGCCAACAGGCAAGGATGAATACCTCTGGCCTGATGATGACGTATACCTTTAATCTCAGCACTTAGGTGATAGAGGCAGGTGGATCTCTGTGAGATCGAGGCCAGCCTAGTCTAAATAGCAAGTTCCAGTCTGGCTCGGGCTGCGTAATGAGACCTTGTCTCAACAAAACAAAACAAAATAACCTAATGGAAAATAGTGGGGCCTGCAAATTAGTCCAAATACTGAAAGCAAATTGTGACAATTGGCAAACTCTTAAAAGTCAGCAAGCCATCACCTTTAATGTTTCAATGTTTTTAATGTACTGACCTTTGTATCGTGGAAAGTGGACTAATGAAAATTGATACCATATAGTTTTTTTAGATAATACCTGATTTTCCTAATGAAGTTCATTCTTTTGTTAATTTTATATTAAATAAGCTTATTGCAGAGAAAATGACATGGAAGCCTTAAATTTTTGGTGCTATTTAAGTACTGTTTAAAGTCCTTAACTCAGTTTAACAGTGGTGGTTTTTGATGCTCGATGAACACAAGAATGAAGGAATATCTTCGTTTGTGCCGACATTGGCCGCTTAGTGCATCTCAGTACTGCAGAGTTCTTGGTTTAGCATACTTATAAATACAACTGTGTGCATGAGATTTCATTTTAGAAATGAGAGTGTATTTTAATGCTTTGTATAAAGAAAATTTTGGTTCAGTATGTGGCCTGTATTATACCTGTAATTTGATACATAAAGCCTAAAATTGCCTCCTCAAAACCACATTTTTAATCAAAGCCTTGTTAAAAATGCAGGTTTCAGGCTGGCAAGATGCCTCAGCCAGTAAAGATCTTTGACACTAAGCCTGATGACCTGAGTTCAGTCCCCAGGATGTACGTGGTGAAGAGAACCAGCTCTCGGAAGTTGTCCTCTCTCTCTCTCTCTCTCTCTCTCTCTCTCTCTCTCTCTCACACACACACACACACACACACACACACACACAAATAAATGAATAAAGCGTAATATAAAAAATTTTTTAATGTGTGTTTTGCCTACATATATGTAAGTGTACTTGTGTTGTTCAGTGCCTTTTGAGGGCAGAGGAAGGTGTCAGACCCTCTAGAACTGGAGTTACAGATAAGTACTCCAGTACTTTTGCAAGTCCTTTTCCAGGACTTTTGCAAGAACAGCTAGTACTTGTAACTAGAACCAGCTCTCCAACCCCATTAAAAAAAAAAAAAATGCAGGTTTCTAGAGCCCTAAAAACAATTATTCTTTTTCACTGTTCTTAAACTAACATTATTTAGTACAGAGTAACATAGTATTTGCTGTCAGTGTAAAGTTATAAAACATTCAAAGATAATAGATGAAATCAGAATTGAATAGCAACATAAAGAGATGGCTAAAAAGGTATAAAAACAAGTTTTGTCACATATAGTTATACACACACATTCTTCAGTCCACAAAGTAAGTTCTGAGAGCTGTGTGGTGCATGTCTAATCCTACCACTTGAGAGGTGGAAGCAGGAGTATCAAAAGTTGAAGGTCGTCTTTGGCTATGTAGCTTGTTCAAGGTCAGCAGTGATTACCTGAGCAGACTGAAAATGGGTAGGAGCCAGGCCCAGGAAGATGAGAAAAAAGCGTGTGGAGGCTCTGGAGTAGAATATGAGCTTGTCTTGTACTGAGGCTGAGGTCCTTGTGACTTGAACTTCATGAAGAGTGAGATAGTGGGAAGAGACCAGCTCACAGGGTGTTGTGGTAGGAAGGCATCAAGACAGCAGGAGAGTTGTGTAATACTACTTAACAGGCTACTGTGGGAGAGTGCATCATATGAGGAAGCACCTAAGGATTACTCTAAAGCTTGAGTGTGCGTCTGTAAACGTGCAAATTTAACATTCCCCAGAACCAAAAACGCAAACTATGATATGACTGTAGTAGCTTGAACGTTAGAATTTTTAACACTAGTAGCCCCTGCCAAAACTGTATATCTGTAGTTTAAGTGCAAAAAGGAGGAGAATTGGGCTAAAGAGATGGCTCAGCGTTCAGAGCACTGGCTGCTCTTGTAGAGTCCTCTGGGGTTTGGTTTCCATCATCCACATTGGCAGCTAACAGTCTGAAGCCCCAGTTCAGGGGAATCCAATGCCCTGTTCTGACCTCCAGGGGCAGTGCATGATACAGGTGCACTTACATGCAGGCAATACACTCATACACACAAAATGAAATTAAAAAAAAATATATTGAAATCTTAATACTACCTGGCTCAAATGGGTGAATGAAAAGGAAGAGGGAAATTTGTCTTTTATTGTTTATTTTTTAGATAAATACAGGGCTCGATCTTGACATTTCTATGGTTGAGTAGTAGTCATTTTACTTAGGAGTACAGCAGCCCAGGACTGGAGAATAGAAACAGTTCTAACTCTAAAATCCAAAGGAGAGGAAGTGGGACTCCTTCAGCTCTGCTCAAGTGGCCCTTTGTGGGCGGGCGAGGTAGTGAAGTTGGGTCCTGTGAGGCCAATCAACTGGACGACAGCTGCGGGAAAGCCAATCACCCCGCAGAAGGCTCGCGAAATCTCCGCCCAGCTGCCGGCTGCTCCGCTGGAGCAGTGAGACCGGTGAGCGCTGGTGGGTGAGCGCTGGTGGGCGCGTCTGCGTCTGCGTACCGCACCCTCTCACTGGAACAGAGCGTACGGTTGGGGGCTGTTGGATGAACGTCCTTCCTGGTCCTGGTCTGGGGAGACGGTCCGAACTTTCCAGGCCGAACGGTTCGCACCGAGCGGAGGTTGGGAGTTGCTGAGGAGGTTGGGAGTTGCTGAATTGGCTTCAGACCTACTTCAGACCTGGTGTTTCAGTCGGCTGCTTCAGACCAAGGCCCAGACCTGGAGAACGACGGTTGCAGGTTAGCTGTAGAACCGAGCTCCACGTACATAGAAACCGTTGCCAGGGCTGGTACATGCCATTTTCTACTTCTGGCTGCAGAGGGCGCCTGGCCCTCATATTAACAGATGCTGGAAGAAAGGACCTCGAGCCTTACTAGGGTTACCACTAGTCCCTACAATTTGCACCAGAGGTTTGCTAAGCGGATTAGGAAATATGGGAAGTGGATGTGGATCAGGATGACAGAAGAAAGCATATCCAGCTAGGACCAAGATTTTCCTAACTGGACAAAGACTGCAAAGAAACAGGAGGAATTCTCTAGAGAACTAATAAAACAACCTTTTCGTTTGTTTTATTTTTTGAGGTAGGGTCTCATGTAGCTCAAGTTGGATATGCGTATTTGTAGTTGAGATGATCTTGTACTCCTGGTCCTCCTACCTCCACCTCCCAAGTGGGAGATTATATCATTCCCAGCTAACTTGTACAGAAAGTGTACAAGAAAAAAAGCAAGATAGTTTTCATTAAAGATTCTCAGCAGTGTTAGAATACTATTCAGAATGACCTTTACTTGGTTAGGCAAGAGATGGCTCTGTCATGTTTTTCAATGTTTTGTTCAAGTCAAAATCTCGATGATTGTAAGATAATGTCATTCAAAGTAATTTATTTTATTTCTCTTTTTGTTGTTTTACATTTTTGTTTTATTTTGTGGTATGTATTTTAATCCTATCAAATACTTAATTCTTTTCTACTAAAGATCCTCCAGCTCTTTTGAAAAATTCTCTCAAGGCAATCCCTTCTATTCTCTGTGGAATCAATAATTTAAAAGTTCTTCATGTTTTTTTTCTCCCCCTCCCTGTTCCTTTCAAATCTTCAGATTATCCTTGTGATGGGACCTATTCATCATTCTGGGCCTTAGAGGTATGGTATGAAAGCCATAGTCTAATTTCTTGGCTGGATCTTATCCCAAAGCTGAAGAACTATTAACCTATTTTCTATACCCAAGCCAAGCCAGCAGCCATATGAAGAAGCCAACCTATCCTCTCTGTAAGCCAGGCTCCCAGAGGGCAGTCATGCTGAAACAAATGCTTCTGTGAACCAGCCCCTCTGCTATTTATTTATTTGTTTATTTGTTATTATTTTTTGAGACAGAGTCTCAACTATACAGCCCTGGCTGGCCTGGTACTTGATATGTCAACCACTGTAGCCTCAAAGTCACAGAGATCTGCTTGCCTCTGCCTCCCAATGCTGGAATTAAAGGTGTGGGCCACCACAACCAGCTATGTTACATTTTTTAAATGATCACTGTAGGTTTTAGTGCAATGCTTTTTATAAAACTATTTTAATGTTAATATGATATGTAAGTTTTCTTTTTGTGTGTGTGTGAAGTACTGGAGATTGAACCTAGGGCTTCACAAAAATAGGCAAGTGTTCTACCACTGAACTGTATTCCTCATCCTTTGTCTTCATTTTTATTTTTAAGGTCAGTTTGACTAAGTTGCCTAGGGTGGTCTTGAATTCACCCTGTACAGCCCAGGCAGGCCTTCAGTGTGTGATCCCCTTGCCTCAGCCTCTTGAGTAGCTGGGATTCCAGGTGTGTGCCATCAGGCCCAACTAGGCAGTCTTTTAGAATTGCTACTCATGCATTGTCACCTACAGTTTGAAAAGCAGTAGTACTGTGATGGTTCAGTAGGTGGGCTTTGTAGGTAGCCTACGGAGATTGATATCCTCAGTTGACTTGTCAACTTCTGTACAAACTGGGAGTCATCGTTATTATTATTTAATTTATATGTAGTGCTGATGATTGAGCCCATGGCCCTGTGCATGTTAGATAGGTTCTCACCACTGACCTGCACCCCTAGCCATGGGAGGAATTAATATCCTTCAAGATAGTAATTTTGGTCCGGGCATGGTGGCGTACGCCTTTAATCCCAGCACTTAGGAGGCAGAGGCAGGCGGATCTCTGAGTTCAAGGCCAGCCTGGTCTACATAGTGAGTTCCTGGAAAGCTGGGGCTACAGGGAGACCCTGTCTCAAAAAGACCAAAAAAAAAAAAAAAGTAATTTTGAAGATTGAGATAATCTATGGCACATGGTAATTTAGTTCCATAAATGATAATTTATTATTACTTTCTGGCTAAAACAATATACTTGATATAAAAGTTGAAGGATTAAGTGAGGTAATATCTACACACACACACACACACACATACACACACACACACATACACACACCACAGAAGGGCCCAGCAAACACTAAGAACTACATAAATGACTAGAGTGAAATAGTGTCTTCGGGCATGACAGGACTGCTGCACTCATGAACTCACAGTAGCTATGGTTGCCTGCAGAAGAACCGCACAGGATCAAGCCAATCAATATTCCATATGGAAAGGAAGGGTTTCATAAGCCTCCATCCCTAAATAAGGAGTATGGACAGTTGATAGCGTCTGGAGGAGGGAGAATCCATTTTCTTTAAGGGTATGGCTTCTGGTAGGTTGAAACATGCTCCAGTGGGTGGCCCTCCACTCAGGAATGTATGGGCAGCAGAAACTGGAGTTAATGGGTTATTTAAAAAAAAAAAAAGGTACTGGAGAGATGGTTAGGCAGTTAAGAGCACTGTCTACTCTTGCAGAAGACCTGGGTTTGATTCCCAGCACCCACGTGGCTGCTGACAACTGTCCATTACTCGCGTTCCAGAGGAATTAGATGCCCTCTTCTGACCTCCTCAGACATTGCACAATATGGGTTCACTTAACATACATGCAGGCAATATACCCATACACAAAATCTAAAAAATAATAAAATGTTTTTAAAAGACACAAAGCCAGGCATTGTGGAGCACACCTTTAGTTTCAGCACTTGGGAGGCAGAGGCAGGCAGATCTCTGTGAGATTGAGAACAGCCTGGTCTGTATAGTAAGTTCCAGGCCAGATGGGGCTACAGGGAGACCCTGTCTCAAAAAGACAAAAAAAAAAAAAAAAAAAAAAAAAAGAGGACACAATGTTGGGGGGTGGGTAAAGAGGTAGGGGGTGGAACTGGGAGGAATTAGGGGAAGAGTTGGGGGTCACTGTGATCAAAACACATTGTGTGAAATTCTCAAAGAATAAAACTATGCTTTAAAGAACTACATATACTATTGTTACTATCACTGTCATTAGTAATACCATTAGGGTGAAAGTGTCCCAGGCTGTCTCAGTTCAACCCAGCAAATATTCTTAAGAGACAAAGTACTGTGTTAGCCCTTCAGGAATGACGATGAACAAGCTCTTTCAAAATCTAGAAGGGAGCTACAGAGACATAATTAAAATACATGCTACATTCTGCCAGAGGGATGCAGTGTTTTAGAACACAGTCTTGGTGGAAGTGGTAAGGAAGGGAAGGGGGAAGGAATAGTGGGGGAAAGGCACAGAAAGCGTACTATACATGTTTGTGCCAGATCTCAAAGGATAATTGGAATGTTAACAAATATTTATGTAAATAAAATATCATTCAAAATCAGCATGAAAAGATACTTTTAAAGTAGTTTGGGAGGATTTTGAGTGATTGCAAGAGGACCCACCTGTGAGGGTCAATTGTGCAACGTGTGAAAACATCATGTGATGGAGTACAATTGTTATTGGAACAGAAGGGACAACTACCAACTGTTAGACTCTTATCCAAAATGTTTCATCCAAACAGGTATGTCAATGGTAGCAGATACTCAGATAGCCTTCAGGATCTGTGGAGTCCAACATACAATGGATCTTCTGTCTTAACAATCTCTGTTAGAGGAACTGAATCCAAACAGTCCAGCCAATAGCCAGGCAGCATAACTTTCTCAGGAACATTAATGAGAGTCCAAGAAAAGGGTTTTAGCCACTGTTGAACAAACCTGGAATGGCTCATGGCAAACACCTGGTCTGCTCATCTTTTCATCCTTTTTTTTTTTTTTTAAATCACTGTTGTGTACAATTTATCTCCCAGCAGAAAGGCTAACAAATTTTAAGTGCCACAGGTTTAAGGATTCTGCAAAGAAAAAGCAAAAGTCCTTCAGGTTAGAACCTACAAAAACTTGTGTATTTTGATTAGTAAACTTTTTATTGCATGTTGCCTATAGTTATTGCTGCACAAACTTGTAATATGTCCTGTTTGTATTTTTCCCAAGTGTATAATGTTATGAAGTTTTCGTGACAGAATATACATATTTACAAATCTTTTTCAAATATTGAATGCCTTATTTTTTTAGATTCTTTAGAGTTTTAAATTAGAAAAAAGTACTAAAATTTTTATATATGAATATTACATGTAAAGCTTTTAAAATACATCAGTGCAAGAGACTGTCGATTATTTCCCATCTGTGCAGGAGGGGTTAAGGAGTCTCTTGTTCTCCATCAATTAATTGATAGCTTCATTCCCAGTTTCAAAGGAGCATCCATTTTTATCAAGGCCTTCAAATGTGATTCTGAGAAACAAGAGTATTTTGAGCACCAAAACTTGTCTGGTTATACTTTTCCAGCTTTCTTCAAGGTCAAGATTGAGATAGTAAATGGGCAGCAAATAGTTTGACTCTGCTAGAGTTTAACTGTTGTTATCAGGGAGGGAAACCAAAATCAGTAGCCTTCCTCCTTGGAAAACCTCCACTCTCTTTTCAATAGGAGTTCTCAGTGGTTACTGCTATCCAGATAGAACTAAATTATTACGTATTAGGTTCGCATCTGTTTTCCTATACTGTTTCAGTCATGACTGCCAAGGATTGTCCATCACTATGGGGCTTTGGAACAACAAAGACGTTTAAAATTCCCATTGAACATTTGGATTTCAAATATATTGAAAAATGTTCAGACGTGAAACGCCTGGAAAAAATTCTTTGTGTGCTGAGGTAAGCGTTTAAAAAAATTATTTCATGTTCCAATATGTCAGTTTTAATTATGTCATTACCTTCTAAAAGGCAAAGCAATGATAGAAATATTGGAGAATTTTCAAATATTGAGATTAGTTTTTAAAGCCCACAATGGTTCCAAAATAGTGGTTTTGATACTATGGTTAGTTTGGAGGGTTCTGGCTAGATGCACTTCCAACATGAGACAGGCTAATTAGTATCCAAGGGGTTATTTTTCTTGTTCTCCTGTATTTTCTAGAAAAAGGTAAAGCAACTGTGAAAGTAGCCCAGGACACCTGGGCTGAACAAGTTCTCTGTCACTTTCCACTTCTCTAACAATAGTGACTCACTCAGTACTGACTGATTTCAGGGAAGATGGTGGGGAGGCCTGAAGACAGAGTTAGCTGGGTCCCAGAGTACAGCCCCACTGTGATATTGTCAAACTTTACACATATATGTCTGAAGTGGTTTTTAAAAATGCAGGTTTGAGGGCCTTGTTCCCAGTGATTCTACTTCAGGAAGTCTGGTAAGGGGCCCAGAAGTATATTTTTTAAAAATTATTATTTTTATTTTATGTATATGTGTGTATTACCTGCCTGTGTATAAGTGCACCCTTGTCGTGCAGTGCCCTCAGAAATCAGAGGGTGTCAGATCCCCTGGAACTGGAGTTACAGATGGTTGTTAGCTGCCATATGGGTGCTGGGAACCGAACCCAGGTCCTCTGTAAGAGCAACCAGTGCTCTTCACTGCTGAGCCATCTCTCCAGCTTCCAGAAACATGTTTTTAACAATGCAGCTTACTGATTTTTATACTGGGGTTAAAGAATCCATTTCAAGAAACACTGCCTAGCATGTTAGCTCACACCCTTAATCCCAGAACTTGGAGGTAGAGTCTGGCAGATCTCTTTGAGTTTGAGGCCAGCCTGGTCTACATAGTGAGACCCTGTCTCAAAAACAGAACAAAACAAAACAACAAAAAATAAAAACAAAAACCCCACAACAAGTGGAGTAGCAAATTGGAACACCTGTTTGGGTTTCTTAAGCAGTTTGATTTGGAGAACAGAGTTTGTAGAGGTACCTGTGGCCTATAAACCCTCCTTTTATGGTGCTTGGCTCTTTGCTGGTTCTTGATTTTATTTTTTTTATCTTTTTTTTGTTTTAAAGATTTATTGTTTTTATTTTATGTGTATGTCTGAATGCCTGCGTGTATGCATGAGTACCACATGTGTGCCAATGCTCAGAGAGGCCAGAAGATGGTGATGGATCCCCTGAACTGGAGTTATAGACAGTTGTGAGTTGTGAGTTACCTGATGGGGGTGCTAGGAACCAAACTCCAGTCCTGATACTCTTGCCACTGTGTCCTTCCTTTTTCTGTTCCATGGCCTTTAGCCTCCTGTTTTCCATGCCAGAATTGCTGTAATCACTTCATCATTTCTGAAATAGAAAGATGGAAAGTCATACCATCATCTCCCTTTTGTTTTTCTCAGCAGAATACTGTCATATTTTGCCAAGGACTTATTAAAAAATGAAAAGCTCCGGGTGTGGTGGTACATGACTTTGATTCTAGCACTGAGGGTTGGGAAGGGGGCACAGAAGGAGGCAGATCTCCTTGAGATTGGTCTACATATCCAGTTCCAGGCCAGCTGGGGCTACAGCTATTTACTGTTTAAAAGTAAAATAAATAACCAAAATCTTTATGGGATAAAGAATGTGAAAGCTGCAGTTATAATATTGATTATTAACAACTTTATAACTACCCTAATTAAATAACATTATATTGGGGCTGGAGAGATGGCTCAGTGGTTAAGTGGACCTGGGTTCGATTTCCAGAACCCACATGGTGGCTAACAACCATCTGTAACTCTAGTTCCAGGTGATCCAATGCCTCTTATGTCCTCTGTGGGCATTGCACGACACAGGTGCACTTACACATATGCAGGCAATACACTCATACACATAAAATAAAAATAAAATATTAAAAATAAATTGTGGGGGCTGGAGAGATGGCTCAGCAGTTAAGAACACTCATTGTTCTTGCAGAAGACCTGGGTTTGAATCCCAGCACCCACGTGGCAGCTAACAACTATCCATAACTCTAGTCCCAGGGTATCTTACATCTGCTTCTGACCTCCACAGGCATTGCAGGACACGAGTGCACTTACCTACATGCAGGCAATACACTCATATAGATAAAATAAAAATAATAAATGAAAAAATTTTAAGTTTTTTTTAAAAGAGCAAACAGATCTATAAGAGGAGAGGAAATGATGATTTTCTTTAAAAACAGAAAGACCAGATGACTTCATTTAGCTTTCTAAGGAAGGAATTCTTTTCCTTGAGTGTTTGAATTTAGGAGTGTTTTTTCTAAGCAGTTTCACTGCCATTTTCTTCCTATACTTTTTTTTTTTTTAATTGTGAACAGAGATTGGGAACGTACCTCATTTTTAGAGTGTTTGACTAGCATTCATGGGGTCTTGGGTTCAATCCACATAAATGTGATTTGGTATCAAATGCTTGTAATCCCCAAACTGGGAAGGTAAGTGCAGGAGGATTAGAAGTTCATAGTCATCCTTGGCTACATAGGGAATTAGAAGCTAGCCTGGGCTACCTGAGACCCTGACTCAGAAAAAGAGTTTTTTTGAAAAAACAGAAACTTCCCCTTTTTTAAAAAAGCCCCCACACATTGTCTCTCTGCTTGTCTCAAATATTGTATCCGCCCCCCTTTTTGATTTTTGTTTTTTTGAGACAGGGTCTCATCTTGTAGTCATGGCTGGTCTGGAACCTGCTATGTAGACCAGGCTGGCCTCCAACTCATAGAGCTCTGTCTGCTCTGCATCTGAAGTACTGGGATTAAAGGTGTGTGCCACCACCTGACTCTAATAGTAAATTTCTAATATAGATTTTGAAATTGCTTTGTGTATAAAATAAACATTTTTTAAGTAAGAGAAAAATGTTATTTATTCAGCCTTTAAAGTGTGTGATGTAGTTGGTTTCTTTGGAGTTTTCATCATTGTGTTGCGCTATTGATTAGCCACCAGCTTCAGCCTTGTGTGGCTCTTGAGATCAAAGAACCTGTTGGTTCCAGGAAACCCAGTTTGTAAACCATCAGTCCAGAAGATAGCTAAATAAGGCACTAACTCTAAGATTATAACTACTTTTAAGGTCTGGTGAAGAAGGATATTATCCTGAACTTACAGAATTTTGTGAAAAGCGTCTTACAGGCTTGGCTCCCGGAAGTAGAGCTTTGAGGAAGGATAAACCTGCAGCTACAGCATCCAGCTTTACAGCAGAAGAATGGGAGAAAATTGATGGTGATTTAAAGGTAGAGCACAGTACCAGTTTTCAGTAGTGTAGAAACACTGTATAAATGGCTGCGTCATTTAGCTGAACTCTTAGGCTGCTTCTTTGCCAGTAAAAGTGGTTAGTGGTGATTGCTTAGAAAATGGTGGTTGTTTCTTAAGCCTAATCAAATAGAATTTGTGTGTGTGTGAGAATATATTTTAAATTTCTGGATAATATTCAGTCCTATAAAAGAATCATAACTTAATCATCATGTATTTATGATTTATATAAATATATTTGGAGCTATGTACACACACCTGTAATCCCAGCACTTGGGAGGTAGAGGCAGGAGAATCAGAAGTTTAAGCCAGAGGCTGTCATCAGTTGTTATTCCTCAATTGTTTCTCCATCATATGTGTGTGTGCATGTGCGTGTACATATACATATGTATTTTGTGTATATTTTTATTGAATTTTTGTGCATTTCATACAAAACATCTTAATCATCTTTATATCTCCTCTCCCCATCTAGACCTCCCCCGATAGCCAGCTCCACTGGATTTCATGCATTCTGTTACATATTTTAAGGCCTATCAAGTCAAGTTAGTGTATGTACTCAGATGTCCCTCAGTGAAAGTTCATCCACAGGGTTTTAGTCAGCCTATCTAGAATCTCTCCCTTAAAGAAGATAAACTCTCTCTCACCCAGAAGTAATCAGCTGCTGATAATTCTTTAGCTAAGATTGGGGCCTGTTATCTATTTTCCCAGTTATAAGCTGGGTTTTTGTCTGCTTGAGTTTTCATGGGTCTTGTGTATGCTGTCACCATTATGTAAGTTCACATGAGCAAGATCTCAGGAGCCTGTAAGACAAATAGAGTCTCCTCCCTAGCTCTTACAATCTTTCCACCTCCTCTTCTACCCTGCCCTGGGTGGGTGAAGTTTAATATAGGAGTCCTGTCCAGGTCCCTCATTCTTCAGACTCTATTCTCTGTGCCGTATCCATTTGTGGCCTTTTGTGTTCATTGCTCTCTGTTGCAGGAGAGAGTTCACTGGTGAGAGTTGAGAGATGCATTAGTATTCTCTCCACCCCTTGTTCTACTATAGTCCATGAGCCTTTTGAATGTTGCCACCTTATTTTTCAGACAGGACACTGAACCTGGACAGACACTGAACCTGGAGCTTACTGTTAGGATAGACTGGTTGGCCAGAAAGCCCCAGGGATCTTCCTGTCTCTACCTTCCAGTACAGGGGTTACAGGTGTAGGCCACCTTGTCCAAACCCTCGTGCTTATATGGCAAACACTTTGCTGACTTAGGCATCTTTCCAGCCCCTCATTTCCTTTATGCTTTCTCTGTCACCTCTTTCAGGTTCTCATACTCCGTCATGATCTCTGTTCACATTTTTAATCTCTCTTCCCTTGTTGCTTTTCTTTTTCTCCTCACATCTCCTCCTGTTATACCCTTTTTCCACCTACTTTCCTTCTATACTGATAGGACAGGTGATATAGTATATTGTTGAATCTCAATGCTTTTAAAATGTTGCCAAATAATAGCATTCTCAATATCTTTGCTGAAAAATAAATAATAGAACTTCACAGATAATAAAGAAATCTCTTATGCAATATTTTCCTGGCACCGGTGATAATTAAGTCTAATAAATATTATTAAGAATCTAACATGTGGGGGCTGGAGAGATGGCTCAGTGGTTAAGAGCACTGGCTGCTCTTGCAGAGGACCTACATTTGGTTCCTAGGACCTTCATAGTAGCTAATAACCATCCACAACCCCAGTTCCAGGGGATCTGATCCCTCTTCTGGTCTCCGTGGGCATTGCATGAATGTGGTATACATACAAACAGGCAAAACACT